AATGCAAGTACTCGTCTGGCTCTTACCGTTCAAACCTGTGGAGGAGAATAACACGAAACAGATCCATATCGTCAACATATTTTGTCCTCCAACTGTTGTTGCGAACTGTGGAAATTCTTTTCAAATCAGCTGTGCAAGTGTACAAACAGATGATATTTAGGCTTTCCCCCCTTCGTCATGGGGTAAGCCCCACTGCACATAGCTCACCAGGTTTATCAAGATTTGGGAAGAAGTTTTATGTCCCGACATGTCCTCTGGAATGACAGGAATGAGCATCCATTAATTTAAGAACGAAAAACTTAGTTCGTGATCGTCGCGAAGGGCTATTACTATCCGCACAAATAAACTCAACCGACACATTTTTCATACTAAACAGTAATCCATTAGCGATTTACCCTGAACAACGGAAGCCATAAGTGACCGAGTGCTAATTTTGACGTGACCTTGCTAAACTATTACAAGTAATCTAAAGATGTGTTAAATGAGCGGGCTGTTAAACATTAAAAAAGGACCCGAGACATGACCAGTGTCACATGTACGTAACAAAGTAATACAACTTTAAAAAATGCCCTCGTATCCCCCTTTTTTCAAACGGTCGTCTTATTGTCTTAAATATAATTAGAAAGAAGAGTAGATAAGGGCCCGGAGGGGGAGGAGGGGGGGGACTCGGCATATGAAATGGGTGGGGATGCTCGTTGTCACCCTCAAGGATGTAAATTTCGGATTTTGGTCTCACTTGGGGTGTTCTGGGCAAAACGCCATCATATTTAGCAGTGAAGGTCTCGTTTAGGGTTGCACGCGAAAAAAAATCAAAATGTATATATTGTCTGTATTTTAACATGGTCTCTTTTTAATTAGGGGTCAAGAAAAGCTTGGGCCACGCCCAGATCGGTCTCCTTTAGGAGTTTAATGCAAAATTTCCGACGAGTATCCCCACCCCTTTCATATGCGGAGTCTTCCCCGGGATAAGGGATAAGGGGTCAAAGAATAACGTGGTCTGCCTGTCTAGATAAGCGCCCGATTCCCACCCAATATTTGTTTCTCAGTAAGGTAATTATACGCCAAATCTATGCGGAAAATCCATACCAACTCCTTAAAAATTCAGCTGTAATTTCGTCTCTCATACGATGCAAATTAACATTCGTGAAACAAAACAAACCCTGCGGTATATATTCAGTCACTGTGAATCACAGTGCAGAAAAGAGCTCTCAGAAAATGTCGACCATCACGAACGAAATTAATATAAGGAGACCCCAAGGTCAAGCCGGTAGATTTCCCTTTCGAAATTACTGAGTGCCTGCTTAAGGGGG